CCCCTCCCAATTCATTCTGATTATCTGTAGAGGTTTTCAGCTGGCTATGAACTGCAATGCACATGTCAGATATTCTAACGCATTCCTGGCATGGAAAAACAAGTTAGATACACGAGTAATAAATTGGTGACTAACCTCAATAATAAGATCAATATTGCTTGTTAACGCTTGGACCCGTTGAAAACCTGCGATCAAACTGAGGGGCAGGAAGCCACTTTTGTCCATCTATAATGAAAAAGTTACTTTGAATCATTTGAAGCGACATTTTGTTAGTCAATTGAAAACAGCATACATATTTAATACATCTCTTTCCCAAGTTTTTTTTTTTTCTGTTAGAAAATCCTTAATATAAATTATAACATTGTCAAAACATTTCAAATCCCATACCAAATATTTGGAGCTTCAAACAGTCAGCCTCATACAAACAGCAATGTATCCGCAAAGTATTCAAAATACTATTGAGTATGTGAACAGCATGGAGAATAATCATTGGCTGACACTAGTCTATTTTTAAAATCTCGACTGGCTAAGAAAAGCAAGAATCCATCATAGATTGAATACATACCTTTCGCCTTAAAAAGATGTCTTTCACTAGATTATCTATGCTGAAGTAATATTCTCTGTAATAAAATAAAATAACAAAATTAAACTATATATATAAATATATTTTGATTAACAGAGCAGTGTACACAAGACTCAAATTCTGATCATATTTGGTTTGGCTTGTCATGAATATATGGTCAGCATTTACATGTTCTTTTCTGAACAAGTGCATGTTTTAGCTCCACACTGAATTAAATTGTCTTGGAGTGCAAGACAACATATGCTAGAACAAAAGTGATTACTAAAAAAAATTACAATAGACTTACATCTGCTTTCGGATATAATCTTTGAGTGCGTCTTGTTCAACAGGATAAAATGGAGCATTCTCGTAGAAAAACCCTCCAACTTGACTACCTCCACCAACATTACCAGTATAGTCAGTATCAAAGTATTGTGGATAAGGAATGAATTGATTGCCATCAGTGGGTCCTTGTAATAAAATGAACAGTTCAGTGATTAATAAAATCTCCAAGGCTATGGGATGACATTTTCTCACACTAGTTGGAAATTTTTTGTCTCGCATGAGCCAGATTGCACAGTATTTCTGGGCATCTCTACCAATCTTACTCACATTATCAAATCAAGTTTAAGAAAGCAGTTGTACAGAAGTTTTGATTCCCCACTAGTAGTGATCTCTCATTCCTAGCAGCCACGATGCGAAAAAATTCACAACAAATATCAAGAACAAATAATATTAAATATGTATAAAATCACGAAAGGATATGTTACCTTGCCAAAATTCAGGTCTGACTTGATGCTGTCCTCTTCCACGCCCCCGTCCTCTACCCCTTCCACGCCCTCTACTACGATATCCACCTCTAATTTCTGCACCTTGTCGCCAATTCAAAGAGTTAGAACCTGAATGAATTAAAAATATTGTTGCTTATCTACCATATAAACATAACAGAAGTATTGCAGGGTTGAAGTTTTTGAACATCTTGTACATGCATTCTATACGTGGCATGGGACCTACATCGAACATGACGACTGTGAGACTTTATATACACTTACATGTAAGCACATAAATCTGATGAATTGTTGAGCTTTTGTTTAACCCTTATCCCCCCCCCCCTATGTAGTTTTTTATTGATCTAACCAAATAAAGGTTGATCCAGACATCGCATTAGTTAATAGTAGAATGAAACTCACCTCTGTTAGAGTCATCTCGATTTGTCCTATCATTTTGGTAATCTTGAGATGTTTTTCTATCTCTAGATAGATTGGTTCTGCCATCACGGTTATATTTTGGTGATAAGTGCCTCCTCTCTTCCTTCCTGCTGGGTTCAGGGTCCAACATTAAAGGCACCCATTTCTGTCTACCACCTACAAAACAATACACACCATTATATATTCCATTGATACGGTCTCTCCTTTCTCCAAAGGTTGTCTAGTTTTTCATTGGTGCCATCTATGAGAAGGCATGAATTTATCACAGGTAATATCTAAAGGAGTTAAAGCTTTTTCAAAAAAACTATCACAAATTGCGTTTTTTTCCAGCAAAAGCATCATTTGCATTGTACAACACAAAATGTATTGAACCAAGTGATTCTGCCCATGGATTCATTTGTGTATTTAATGCTCAAGAACGATTGTTAACGATCGGCCGCATTGGCGTTTCAGCTCAGTCTCTTACACATATTCCATCACAGGCGGTAATCAACCCATTCGTTAGTATTGTTGATTGTACACTGACTAAATGCACAGGCAAAATTGCAGTGTTTGAAACAACAAACAAGCATTAAAAAATGAAGAAGCATTGGTAATAAACAAAATTTACAAAACTCATAATGATTGCTACAACTCTAGGTGTTGAATTAGAAAGTCAAACGAACCGGAAATGAACCACGATGATCGTACACGCAATTTTACAGTTATTTGTTGCAAGCATCGACGTGTCAAAACTGCCCAAACGAAACGAATTTTCTCGATTGCGAATTATTGATATTACCTTTTATAAAAAAAAGGAGATCTAAATAGAAAATATCTTTCGTTGAGAATGACCCTGAGATGACCCCTCAGTAACAATACGTTTTGCCCGTGCGCTAGCTTCATTAGCATAATTTATAACGATCTACAACACACAACATGGCAGCCAAAATAGGTCTGATTTTGCACTCACGCGATGAACACGAAATAAACGAATGTTTTATTATTTTGTTTGGATATTTCATGTCAAAAGGGTAAATAAAACATCTCTCATTTAATAAAACTGGTTCATTTTTCTTTGTTTACGAGACAGGGGGAATTTGCTCTTCATGTGCGAGACAGTCTACAGAAGTGCCGCTACCGACTGGGGATCGATAGTATAGTACCGATCGGAAACAAGCTAGTTTTTCATTTCAAACTTTGAATGAAACTATTGTAATTTGTTGTTAAAATCTTTTCAGTCTCCAGACGTTACATTTAGATGATATTCAACATTTTTTTTTGACTTTTTCGCAACTTCACAAACCAAATTGCGATGGTCACCCCTGTCTATATTAGCCCTGAAGATTGCGTACTCTGTGATCTGAATGTAACATGTGGTCGCTTTCCTGTTAGCGATTCGCAAGTAGCTTTTGTCTTTTTGCTGGGACAGTCTGATGGTAATGTTGGTGGTCGTTATACAAAGGTTCAAGTGTGAATAGATCTACAATAGGGTGGTCGCTATATCCAGTGTCTTTAACGTGTAAATTGTGAAGGGACTGTACTAAGGTGGTTGCTATGAGCAGGTGGCCGCTCTGCACAGGTGGTCGTTAACACAGGTTTGACTGTATTAAGAAATAAATTATAAGGCTTGTTCGGAACTTCATGTTAGAGAACAACTTTGCTAATTCAATAAATATTGCTAGATACTGTCGCGATCATGTCTCAACTGCACAGCCGAATAGAGTAGGCTATTTACTAACTTCTTGAATCTAACTGTATCAAATTCTTTTTTAATTATGCAAATGCCCCCAAGTTTTTCACCAACTGTCAGCCTCATACAAACCGCAATGTATCCGCAAAGTATTCAAAATACTATTGAGTATGTGAACAGCATGGAGAATAATCATTGGCTGACATAAATTACCATACTGGTCATGTGGTCTTTCTATGAGAATAAAGATGCATGATAGGACCATAATGCATGGTTCAGGCTTTTTTTACAACATGCAAGTCACGATCGAAAGCTGTGATTTTGACTCAAGTTGCAGTTACAGAGATAATTAATTCTAGCAACAATATAGTAATGAAATGTAAAACTAAGTGAAAATTAGTCTTACAATACAATAGAGTAAACAAATAGTATTTTAATTTTTGCCTCAATCCATTTTTATAATATAGTTTTACTAGCATGTGAGGGGAACAGAATTTCGCAATAGATTACACAGACTTATGAAATATCACGACACTTTTCAGTACAGTATATTAATTTTTGTTCATTTTCCAGTTGTCTAGGTGCTGTTTACATATGCCCATTATGATTTGGTACCACAAATGTTATTTTGATTCAGTATTAAACAGAATAAAAAAAGTTGTTATAGAGGCTCATGGCCCATGTATCATTTCAACCAGATTTATACCTACAGGCATCTATCCTGAAACAAGACATAATTAATGGGACAGTCTGACATATTTTACATCTATCCAGTCTAGCCAGCTCACGTGTACCAATTTGTTCAATAGGTGATTTTCCGAACAATTGCGAGATCTCGCGAGATGCATGAAAGACGCACGTCTAACGTCTGCCGCAAAAATCGAACGATTTGATTTTGAACTAGAATTTCTTTATTTCGCAGCTTACATTGACCGGCCGATCTTCGACAGAGGAATATTGCTTCCGAATACCCTCACTTAATCGAAATTGCCTATCATCAAATGTGGACAGCACATTATTAAGCATGGAAATGTCCCCGAAAT